CATTGTTACTTGGCACATCCGTGTATTTCTGATCAATCATTGTTACTTGGCACATCCGTGTATTCCTGATTTCCCCATGACTTGTCTGTACCTGTCTATAAAAGGGGTATAAAAACTTCTCTCAGGGCCTCTTGGCGTCACCGGCAATGGGGGCGCAGAGGTCCAGGTTCGAACCTGCAATAAATGACCCTTGCTGCTTAGCTTTGACTCTGGACTCTGGTGGTTTGTTTTTGGGGGTCTCTTAGACTCTGGGCGTTTCACCCGGGCCCAAGCCAGCCCTCTGTATCTCTGCCTCCGGCCCCTTTGACGTTCACATCTTCCCAGTTCGTGAGCCTTTTTGTTCCGATGCTGTGGAGGCTGTCTTTGACCTGGACACGGCAGTGCGTCTCCACGACGGGAACAGCCAGCAGACGGGGGGCCTTGCTCAGATGAGCAGCTCCGGTCCCCGTGTCCTCTCGGTTGCCTGAGCGCCGTCCACACGCAGACGCCCCTCTGCAGCCATCAACGTACACTGGGGCGCCCGGCCCCGCCCCGCTGACCCCACTTCTGTGCGGACGGCATCCGGGCCGGCCCCCCCCCGCACCCCGGGTGACCTGCCCGGAGCTCAGCAGAGGCCTCGGTCTCTGGGCACGTGAGTGTGGTTTCATCTTGTCAGAGCACTAGTGCAGCAGGCTCTCTAGAGAGTTCTGAATCTTGCTTTTCTCAACAGACACGGACCTTGGGCCACCGTGACTTCGTCCCAGGCAGGCATGAAACCACCGGCCAGGGCAAGGCCAAGGGCAGGGTGGGCCCCACCAGGCCCCGTGCTCAGGTGAAGACCGCCGGCGGGCCATCCACCCACACGGACACCATCACTCCAAAGGTGCGAGCGTCATCGGAGACTCAGGCAGGCACCTCCCAAAGCCCCAGCCCTGCGTCTGCGGAAGCCCCTTCCCGTACCCGCCTGGAGCTGTGGCCTGTCTGCCAGACGCGGTTCCTCGTTAAACCTCGGATTCACTGGGTACGGGCACGGGCCTGCCCCACGGAGCCTCACTCGGGGGGACGAGGTGCTGGGCCTTGGCTGGCCACATGCCTCCTTGGCTGGGGAGGGCAAGAGCCCCGCAGTGGGGCAGCAGTGGTGCCCCAAAATGGAAGCTGGGGCCTCTCTCTAACCGAGGAAGGTGCCGGGAATAAGCCAGGTGCCCAGGTCGGGTCGGCCCCTGAGGGCCTGAGGCAGGGACAGGACCAGAGCAGGGTCCAGAGACGTCAGAGGACTTGAGAGAGCAGCTGACTGACGGGAGGTGCGTGCCAGCTCGGGGATGCCGAGTATAGGAGGTGCAGGAGGAAGAGTCTGGAATGTTCTGGGGTTTCCAGCCCAGCAGCCTGAATGGAGAGTACAGGAGGGGGAACCGGGGGGCTGGAGAGAGGGCAAGGTGGGGCGCAGGCCTGAACATGCTAAGCATGAGCTGGCAGAGGGCGCTGGGCAAGCCTGGATGTCCGCCAGAGACTTCTGGGCGAGAGCAGGCGAGGGTCGGAGGCTCCCGTACAGGTGCACGCGGGCCCCCGACATCCGGGGGAGAGCCGGGAGGGTCAGGACCAAGGGGAATGGCTGAAGCGTGCCGATTCTCCCCAAAGAGGCAAGGAGGCCATCCACGGGGGACTGTGTGGTGTGGCCCGGCCTCTCACCCAGCAGCCTGCAGTCCTGGATGGGGTGGGGGTGGGGGTGGGGGCCTTCTGTGCCTCACACCGGCTCTGCACCGACCTGACCCTTCTGCCCCGAGTCTGTCTGTCTGCGGGAGAAGGTCGGACGGGAAGGCTCTAATGCCCTGCATCTGTCTCGTGGGCCCTGTCCCTGGAGGCCCCCCAAGACCCTGCCCCTAGGCAGAGTGCCACCACCGGCGGCCCCAGAATGAAGGGCAGCGTTGCCAGACCACACCGATCCTGTTACAGCCACGGATTTCATCTGAATGATCGTTAATGTGATTTATACAGTTATTTGGATTCTCTGCTCGCGGATTTGTCGCCAGTCCACTTGATATTGGTGAGAGGCAATGGAGCCAACACTAGCTGAGTGGAGCGGGGTGGGGGTGGAGGGGGCCCCTGTCTGAAGCCCCCACCCCTGCATGGCTCTCCACCCCCCCCAGCCCTCCCCCACCCAGACTGAGAAGGTGCCAGTGTGCACGCGGCTTTGCTGGCCGTGTCTCTGGGCCTCGTGGACAGAAGGGTGAGGCACGTGAGGGACAGGTGTGCGGCCTGCAGCCCCTCGGGTGGCCCTCTGGCCTCCCCTCCCCCCAGCCTGGAAAGGACCAGCCACTAGGTGGCCTCATGTGCCTGGGTGTGTGGGACTCAGCAGGACTCAAGGACCCTGCAAACCCACCCATGTGGTGACAGCCGCGAAACAGAGCACGGAGGCCACTCTGAAGAAAGGGAGCTTGTCCCGAGGCTCCACGAGACCCCGAGTGGGTGTGTGCCTCCTGGTCCCTCTGCGCCCTGCTCCTTGTGCCAAAGTCAGGTGTTACTGCCAGCGCCCACGGGCACAGACCGCCAGCCAGGCCCGCTGGGAGCACAGACACTGGTGAAGGAGGCCCAGCCTGGTGCGCGTGCCCTGAGGGATGTGTCACACCGCCCTGGCCCCCCGACACCGTCTCACCACACGCCTCTGTCCTGCCCTCCCCCTTCCTGCCTTCCACACCTTCCCGCCCACATCGTCCCCTCCCCTGGGTCCTCAGCACCCTGAGACTGAACGAGCAGGATGGGGGGCCCGCACACCTGCCCTAGGGCCTTGGGGTACATGGGCCCCCGGCCTGTCTTGGTGAGAGTTTTTACTAGAGTGAGTTTTCCATCAAAACTGGCCTGGGGACAGCTCACAGATTCCTCTAAAATCTGACCATCTGTGCCCGGTGACCTCTGTTCTCTGGCTTGGCTCCCACTTAGCCCTGAGTGTGTGCCCGCATCACTATGGCCAGGCTGTTCCCCTAACCTCGGGTTCTTGAGCACTCCTGGGCTGACCTCTGGGCTCTAGCGGGGCGGCCTGACTCAGCCGACAACAGTGCCCGTGGCAGAGGCCGTTTGTCTGGAGTCCGTGCTGGCCGGGCTGCCCCAGCACTTTGCGGGGAGGAGTCCAGGCTGCCCGTAGGGCCAAACAAACCTCGGGCAGGCTGCGCGTGGTCCGGCCGTGGTGGGCGAGGGGTCTGGGCCGGACGTGGGCAGGAATCTGTGCGGGTCCCAAAGGCAGCATTCCCTCTGTTCCTCCTGGGACAGCAAGAAGGCTGAGGAGTCCATGCTGGGGTCCCTTCGCCCTGGGAAGGGGCAGCTGTGTCCAGGGTGGGGGCGAAGACACATCACCCTGCCCACCTGGCCCCTGAGCACAGAGCGGGGTGACCTCTGGGCCAGAAGCGGGAGGTCCAGCCCACTGTCAGCGCCACCCCTCCCAGGGCTTCCCTAGAGCCACACTGCCCCCTGCTGGTGCCAGCAGACATGGCAGGAGCCGTGAGGACACCAAGCCTCCCTAGCCACTGAATCCCTGGGACTGATTATCCCCTAAAGAACACAGGATACCACATCCAGTGAACCTGGGGCCACTGCGTGGCTGGAATCTCCATCACTGTATCAGAGGTGCAGGCACGTGGCCACTGGGCAGGACGGCCACTGGGGCTGGGGACATGGAGGTCAGGGACAGCC